CTGACAATACTCTAGTAATAGTACTGAAGTTGTGTCCCACTTGTTCTCCCTGTGTCTGTGTGGGTTTCCTCCAGGTGCTCTGGTTTCCTCCCACAGTCCAAAGATATGCAGGATAGGTGGACTGGCCATGGGAAATTGTCTACAGTGTCCAGGGATATACAGGCTAGGTGAGTTAGCCATGGTAAATATGGTGTTACGGGCTTAGGGTGGTGGGGGGGGTTGTGGTGCTGGGTCTGGGTTGGATGCTGTTTGGAGGGTCAGTGTGGATTCAATGGGTCGAATGGCCTCTTTCCACAGTGTAGGAACTCTATGATTCTACAAACTTGTCATGGCGCTAGCCAAGCTGTTCTAATACAGTTACAACACTGGCATCTACCTGACAGTGTGGAAAATTACCCAGGCATGTCCTGTGCCCAAAGCACAGGTACAACCTGGCCAATTACTGCCCCATTTGTCTACCTTGGGATCATCAGTAAAGTGGTGGAAGAGTTCATCAACCTCTTGCTTAGCAATAACCTGCTCACCAATGCTCTAGCAGGACCACTCAGCTCCTAATATCATTACAGCTCTAGTTCAGACATGGAAAAAAGAGCTTAATTCCTGTGGTGAGAAGCCCTTGTCAAGATGCCAAGACTGCATTTGATCAGTTGTGGCATCAAGGAGCCCTGGAAAAACTAGAATCAGTGGGCATCCAGGCAATCATACCTGGCACAAAGGAAGATAGTTGTGGTAGTTGGAGGTCAGTCATCTCAGTTCCAGGGCATCTCTGCCGGAGTTTCTCCAGATAGTGTCCGAGGACCAAACATCTTTAGCTGACAATTACACAATGTTCAGATACTGAAGTGGTCAGGTCCAAATGCAGCAAGATGTGGATAGTATCCAGGCCTGGGCTGACAGGTAGCAAGTAACATTTGCACCACACAAGTGGCAGGCAAGGGCCATCTTCAACGAGAGAATCTAACCATTGTCCTTTGACATTCAATGACATTACCATTACTGAATCCACTACTATCAACATCTTGGGGGTTACCATTGGCCAGAAATGGAACTGGACAAGCCGTATAAATACAGTGGTTAAAAGAGCAGGTCAGAGGCTAGGAATATCCTTCAATCTCTCTTTACACGAAAAGGACAAAATAACCTCTTAAAGTGACAACGTCGCAATAGCAATGGTATGATTATTGCTCCTGTGATTTTCACACAAAGTAGGTTGAAATCTAAAAATGCACAGAAGGTAGTGGATTCAGTTTTGAAGTTCAATAACTGGACTCTGAGGAAAGATTGTTGCTGGCATTTCTAATGCAATGCAAATTTCTCCATATATAAATTCTAGTCCTTGCTAACATAATGTGATATGGCGCAAACCCCTCATCCCACCTGTTTTACGACTAAATTCAGGTTCTGACTTCTGAGTATGCTGTCACCTCAGTGTCACAGTGAATTGGGAATGCTTTCACATGTGTAAAAGTGGCAGTGTAACTACACCCAAATTACAATGATAGTGTTTTTTTTTTGTTTGTAAAATAAACTGAAGAGAACAAATTTTAATCCTCAAATATTTCTCAAAGATGACCTGACTAAATGGCCCTACGGAGAAGCAATTCAGTTTTTGACTGATTATTTGTCAGAATCTTTCTTGCTAGTCATGGCATGCACAGAGTTAATATTTGGTTACTACAAATGATTTCTTCAAGCAACAAACCATACATTACACTTGATACTTGAAAACAGTCACCCAATGCATTGTGCTTTAAAAGCAGTTTGAGATATCTTTCGTGACGTCCATACTTTGATAAGAGAGATCCTTATTAATCTGAATGACAGATGCACTTGTGTGGACAATCCATCTGATATATTGGTAACCTGTGAATACCTATTGAGCTACTTCTATGACTTATAATTATGTCTTATGTCATTGATTTCAAAATTTCATTGAAGGAGTTTGAATGATCTATGATTGATTTAATGTCAATCTCAAGCCAGCAAAAATACCAAGTTACACTACACAGGAAGTGTGCAGCTCAGAGCATGTCATTAAAAAGAAGAACGTAATGGCAGTAGAGAGGGTACGGAGGAGATTTGTTGGGATTGAAAATACAGCTATGAACAAAGAACTGATACAGTGGGGTTGCTCTCCTTCGAACTGGGGTGGAGGAGAAATTTGAGGGACTTGAATAGAGTGTATGGAAAAGGCTTATTCACCTTAGCAGAGAGGTCAGTGATATAAGGAGCCAAAGATATAAGGTGGTCTGTAGAAAGATTAGCGTGGAGATCAAGAAAGTGTGTTTAACCAGGAGGCAGTTGGGATCTTGAATTCACTGTCTGAAGAGGTAGTAGAGGAAGAAACACTTATCTAAAAGGTGTCTAAATATGCACCTCAAGTGCTGAAACCTGCAGGGCTACAGCCAAATGGGAAACTGGCTGGCTGGTACTTGAGCAGGCACAGACACAATGGGCCAAATGGCATCATATTGTGTCGCCAACCTTCTGTCATTCTCTGGAAGTAAACAATAGTGTTTCAAGGATAATGTTATGAGAGCTAGAGAGCTAGCGCAGGAAAGGTATCTTTGTGGTTTATATATTTTAAGAAGAATAGTAAAGATTTTAATTGATGCAATCAGTTTATTATCTGCTAAGTTAATTTGTTGATCTGTTGGTTTACAACCTGAGCTGCTTCCTTCCTAGCGCACATTCCTGCCATTATTTTGTTACAAATAACTACAGTTCAACTTGGTCAAATACACTGGAACTCAATGATATTTACGTTAGAGATAGCAGGAACTGCAGATGCTGGAGAATCTGAGATCACAAGGTGTAGAGCTGGATGAACACAGCAGGCCGAGCAGGAAGGCTGACGTTTCGGGCCTAGACCCTTCTTCAGTTATCTTGATGGTTTATTTTAATATATAACTCTGGTGCTCCCATCATTATTTCAAACCACACTTCCCAGTCACTACAGAAATTCTCTGTTCAGCATGCTCATTTTAGATCCGCCGTTGTATTTTCAATCAGAATGAACAATTAGACAAAGTACACACAGAATCATAATTAACAAAGTGTGAATGTCTTCTGAAAAATAAGGAAGAGAAAGAAAGCAAATAACAAAAGAAAAGTGTGCATGCCGCTGACCTGGTGCACCTAGAACAAAAGAGTTATCATTATGTACTGTGTTAGCTCCCTGCAGCTAGACAGCCTGTAGCTCGTGTCATAAAGATTAAAAAAAAACCAGTTTCCTTTATTCACTCATGCAATAGAGACATCACTGGCTGGGTCAGCATTTGGTGTCTGTCCCTCGTTGTCCTTAACGTGGTAGTGAGCTGCCGCCTTGAATTTCTGCTGTCCACTTGGTATAGATACACCCATATTGTTGTTTGGAAGGGTGTTTCAGGATTTTGACTGAGCAACATTGAAGAAATGGCGACGTGGCTTGGAGGGAACTTGCAGGAGGTAGTGTTTTCAGATATCTACTACAGTTATCCTTCCAGAAGATGGTAGTCATGGGTTTAGAAGATACTGTCTGATGGGCCTTGGTGAATTTCTGCAGTGCATTTTGTAGATGATACACACTGCTGCTACTGAACACCATAAGAGGTAGAGTGAGTGAATATTTGTGGAACGAATCAAGCGGGCTGTTTTGTCTTGAATAGTGTCAAGCTTCTTGAGTGTTGTTAGTGCTGTACCCATCCAGACAGTGGGGTGCAACGTTCCTTCTGAGCTGTGTGGTTGCAAGTGTGCAGTTGCCTTGACATTCTACACATTGTGATCAGTGCACCAATGCAGATTGCAGCATTGAGTTTTGCTTCCAAAAGCCATTGTCATATGTCGATCTCAGAGACACTTGCGGAAAAGCAAATGAGAGGGAACCCTGGTCGGGATTATTGCAGCTGACTCCTAACTTGTATATGGTGGACAGATTCTGGGAGCCCAGATTTCTGTGGTTTGGTTTTTTTTTCAGTTGCATCAGAATACACAATGTAAATTACGAATAATCACACTAGCATTGATCCTTATGGAACACTGCTTTCTACCTTCCTTCAATCTGGAAAAAAAACTCTTTGCCTCGAATTTCAAGTTTCTTTCATCAGATTTCTAACCATGTAGCTATTTGTCTCCAGATTCCATTGCCACCTTTGTCATGAGCCTATCACACAGTGCCTTATGAAAAGGCTTTTGAAAAGTCAAATATGTAGCATCCAATGCATTCCCATTGTTTATTTTTTTTCTGTTAACTCTTCAAAGATCTCAGTCAGTTTACCTAAGATTTTCAGAATCTGTGCTGACTTTTAAAAATTTTGTTTTTTATACTTATTTAGATATCATTGCCATCCTTGGCACTAAGCTGAATGGCCTGTAGTTCAGAAGTGTAATGTTATCTCTGCAGCACAACTTTGTTCCTGGGTTTTGTTGAACGTTGTGTATTGAATGCCCATACATTTGATCACCTTGACAATCATGCCTGAGTTCAGGGGAAGGATTGCTGCGTTGCCACCTGGTGTTTATCTTTATATATACACTGACAACTTAGTCCCTCATTCAACATTTTATATGACCACTGAAGTTAACTTTCAGAGGTTTCCTTGGACTTGTCCCTGCTCCACTACCACAATTTAATTGGAAGTATGGTGAAATGTTGGGTTTGAGGAAGTTCTCATCTAATGAGTCACAGAAGTTTAGTTAGACAGTGTTCTCTACTCTTCTATAGGATGTGTGCTCTAATATGAGTAATAACAAATCCTTGGGACTGAGGCCATAGACAAGGGAATTAAGTCAGATCTATGGAGCAAAAGGGTCTTGAGTCCCAGTCTGCTATGGAAGTAAGGTTGAGGGTAGTGAAGACCTTGGGGTTGAGGGATGAACGTTGTGAATGAAGGACAGTAGGTGTAATTTCACCCCACATGGAGATGCTAAAGTCCGTCCTTTTGTGAAGTACAGTCCATTTAATTGCAAATTACTTATGCTATTATGCTAAATTATCATACTTGTGTATGTTTGTTTTGCAGGTGGTCCAAATATGTGGGCTATCACTTCTGATGAGCGAGTCAAACATGACCAGCAATTTTTAAGTCTTAAACCAGTTGGAGGGTTACTTTCAGGTATGTGTCCACTAGAACTTTGAGAACTCAGTGCTTTTAAAGCACAGTTTTTTTTTTTAACATTCACTTTTAATGTCTGTCTGAGACTGCCAACTACTATGCAACAACTGTAGTCTGAAGTTAATGTTGTTTTCTCATTATACTAGTATAGAATTTGTGGTCTAACTGCACTTTACAAAGTGCAATCGAGTAAAAATCAATGATCCAGATTTTACAGTTGTAATGACAGTGACACTGAATGTTTCCAGTTATTACAGTACTCTATGAAATTGGCAGCAACTTTCTGTATCTGCATATGTACTATTACGTGTGAAAGTCCACAATTTGCTGTCACTGATTTCCTTGCTGCATGACACAATGCAATGTTGAGATTTCCATAGGTGGCAATGTTTTAAAAATAAGTCTGACAAGAACTTCACCTCATAATTACTATTAAATAATATCTATGGCCCTGAAAAACTAACCTTATAGTTCTATGATGTTATGTTTCTTTCCATTGTGATTTAAAAAGTCCATTGTATTTCACTGTAGGGTTTTTGTTCAAGTCTTCTGGTACTTCGGCTTCTAATGGATATGTCCTAATCTTTAATGCTCTTTGATCCTTCACTTTTTATGAATTTTACACTCAGTGCCTTTTACTTTGTGGTTTGTTTTCTGTGAGAACTTCTCAATGTTATGAAGATTACAAAGAGATGTTGATCACTTGGGTTAATGGGCTGAGGAGTGGCAGATGGAGTTTAACTTGGATAAATGTGAGGTATTGCACCTTGGTGAAACAAACAAGGGCAGGACTTACACAAATAAAAGTAGAGCCTTGAGTAGTGTTGTAGAACAGAGAGGCCTGGGGATTCAGGTACATAATTCTTTGAAGTTTGCTTCACATGTCGACAGGGTGGTTAAAAAGGCGTTTAACATGTTTGTCTTCAATGCTCACACCTTTGAGTAAAGGAGTTGGGAAGTTACATTGTGGTTGTACAAGAAGCTGGTGAGGCCTCTTCTGGAGTAGTGTCTCCAGTTCTGGTTGCCCTGTTTTGGGATGGATGTTATTAAGCTGGAGAGACTTCAGAAAATGTTTACCAGAATGTTGCTGGGAATGGAGAGTTTGAGTTATAAGGGGAGGCTGGATATGCTGGGACTTCTTTCACTGGAGCATAGGAGGTTGAGAGATGACCTTTATGGAGATTTTTAAAATGATGAGGGGTGTAGATGAGGCGAATAGCAGGTGTCTTTTCCCTAGGGTTGGTTCATGTGTGGAATGAACTAGCAGAGGAAGTGGTAAATACGTGTACATTTACAACGTTTAAAAGACATTTAGATAATGTTTGGCGGGATATGGACCGAGTGCAGGCAGGTAGGATTAGTTTAGTTTGTGATTACGGATGGCATGGACTGGTTGGACTAAAGGATCTGTTGCTGTGCTGTATGACTGTGACTAATTTGACCCTGCTTGATGATGTCACTCTTCCTGGATGCCAGAGATCCCATTGACGTGACACCAGAGTTAAGTTGGAAAAGGTGAAGGCCAGACCACAGGGATGTTTAGATCATTCATTGATGTTAGTTGATCATAAAACCCAGCTCAACAGTTCAGAATTGATGTGTAAACATCTCAACAAAAAAGTAATTCAGAGATTGTAGTACAACCTATTAAAATTTAAAAATAATTTTAGATGAACTATTGGGCTGGTATTAATTTTATAAAAGGGCTGACTGCATACGGAACGTGTCATTGTAGACTCGAAGGGCCTTTGCTGCACTGTATGAATCTATGAATTTACAAAGAGTATAGTATCCATCATTGGATGAATTTCAGTGATAGAATTGGTGGAAGTGTTAACGTGGTTTGACTTTAAATCTGCTTGTCATTCTTTGAAAACTTTAACAGATTTATCAAAACTAATAGATACTGAGATCAAACCTGACAACATTTTCATGTTGAGATAACAAGGTGTGGAGCTGGACGAACACCAGGGCAGGCAGCATCAGAGGAGCAGGAAGGCTGACGTTTCGGGTCTGGAGCCTTTTTCAGAAATTTTCATGTTTCTCTTTCCCTTTGCCTTTCTTGATGCATCAGAAGTAGTATTGCCATCTAACTTTAATTTACTGCTGTTTGACTGGAATCTACTTAATTTAACTTTTTACTTTGAGTTCACAATTTGGAACAAGCTTGTACAGCTTTTTTCAGTGAGGAATAGTTTTTTTTCCCCCATTGTAACATACAGTAAATATTGATTTTTATATTGTATTGAAAATGAATGATTCCAGTATATTACTTTAAATCTTTTTTGGTTTAAGGTATCTTTTTATTTTAAGAATAAATTGTATTGGGCACTTAGGAATATAGTACGCTTTCCTACGTCTTAACACTGTAGAACGTTTCCATAAAGCTACAGTTTAGGAATTTAAAAATCTACCATTGAATTTAACTAATTTGTCATGGTCCCTTCGGTCTCTTTTTGAACATGGAAATGTCCTGTACAGATTTCCCTGTAAGCCGCATGGCCACACAGTCTCTTGGGAAGCTCCCCTTCTAGAAGCCATTGCTGTGCACAGACCTCGGACGTCTACACAGCAGCAATTAAAATTACAGGGAACAGTGGTTACATACCATAAGCTCTTTCTATAGATTTCCTTAATTGGAAAGTAGGAAATGGACTGCAAACTTCCTGTGTTATGTATTTGCTGTAATGATTGATATTTTAAAAAATTCTTTCATGGAATGCGACCATACCTGGCGAGGCAGATTTTCTTAACGCTGCTTAATTGCCCTTGAGAAGGTGGTGTTTAGATGTGTTCTTGAACTGCTACAGTCCATCTGGTGCAGAAACTCTTGCAATGATGTTGGGAAGGGTGTTTCAGTTTTGATCCTCCAGCAGTAAAGGTACAGCACTATAAGTCCAAATCAGGATAGTATGTGACTTGGAAAGGAACTTGCAGTGATAGTGTCCCCATGCATCTCCTACTCATGAACTCCTGGCCACTAGATTAGGAGATGTTGTGTAGGACTCTTGTGAGTTGCTACAATGCCTCTTTTACGTATTAGATATGCTTTCTCTGTGTGTTTCGCAGGGAGAGCATGATTCTTTAAATTGGTTTGTGAGGTGCCAATGATGTGAACTTGCTTTACCCTGGATGGTGTTGATTTTTCTTTTGGAGCCAAACCCATCCAGGCAAGTGGGCAGTATTTCATCTGACCTTTGCTTAAAGATGATGAATAGGGTTCGCTGAACTGAGAGATATATTTTTCATTTCAGAATTCCTACTCTCCAACTGAATCTTGTAGCCATATTATTTACGTGGCTGGTCCTGTTAAGTTTCTGGTTAGTGATAATCCTAGGATGTTGATACAGGGGATTCAACAGTGGTAATGCCATGGAATGTCAAGGGGAGTTCTGCATTCTCCCTTGTTGTAGATGATCATTGCCTGACACTTGTACAACAGAAGTATTAATATTGGACACTGCTCACTGGAGTTAAAGAATGAGAGATGATCTCATTGAATCATATAGGATTCTTAAGAAGTTTGACGAGATAAATACGAAGAGGATGTTTTCCCTCATGGGAGGGTCTAGGACCAGAGGAAATAATCTCAGAATGAAGGCATGCCAGTTTAAGACTGAGATGAAGAGGAGTTTCTTCTCTGAGGATTGAGCGTCTTTGGAACTCGTAGCCACAGAGATCTGTAGAGCCAAAGTCCTTGTGTAATTAAGGCTGTGATAGATAGATAGATTCTTGATCAGTAGGGGAATTAAGGTGACAGGAAAGTAGACGCAAGGAGTGTCAGATGAGCCATAATCCTGTTGAATGGCGGTGCAGGCTCGAGGGGCCAAACAAACTCCTGTTCCTATTTCTTATGGTCATCTGCCCTCAACCTCTCCTGAGTTGGCTGCACTAATGTATCTAGCTCCTGTTCCTTTTCAAGGCACAGTTTGTATTTCACTATATTTCTGTTTGAGTCTCCAAGGTAAAAGATCCACACCAATGACTAAGACTTAGTATTGCTGTGCAGAGACACAAGACGCAAACAAAACATTCTAGTTTCTCCTGTCCACAGTCAGTGTTTACGCATCACTCCAACATCTGTTGACCAACTGGCGATCTCTCCAAGACAGTCTGATGCCAGTTCACCTTGTGTAACATATTCTAATATACAGAGTATTTGAGAAGTTTTTTTTTCCTCTTTTAGTTCTACCTCTTTGCAAAAATTTCATTGTTTCCAGGGTGATTAATGGTAAAGATGTTGACTGGTGATTTACTGGCTTGTATTAGCGATGTTGATAAATACTTCTTGCCCATCTATTTCAGCTAACTGGAATAATGATGCACTTCATAACTTATTTTTCCAGTTAGAAATTGGACTAAGTTTTTTGTTTTAAATTAGGTAATAGTTTTCTTAATTTAAATATGAGTCATTCTCATAAATGACCTAATATCACAATTTATTCCAACTTTAAGCATAAGAACTGCAGACTCTATATTTCTGGTTACTAAAGCTAATGATTTAATTCTTAAAGCTTATGCTAAACCTGGGTCAGTTGCTTTGAGTGACTTTGTACAAAGAAGTCAACAGCTGCAAAGCTTGAAACCAGAGACCAGTAACTGCTCAGATAGATTCGGTCACATAAACGATGCTGAAGGAACTGTTTTCTAAAGGTGTGAATGCTGAATTTAGTGATCATGACTTTTTAAGCATCTCACATGGGCAAAGCTTTGTAACTTGGCAATGATTTTGTCATGACTTTGCCATTATGCAGGTTTTAGTCAGTATACTTAAACCTTCATAACTGAATATGCACCATGAGGGAAGCAATGGTATCACTATATTATATTTGTTAGAGTAACCAACCTTTGTGAGTGCAGTGCATGCCACTGGAATATGTTTCAAATCAGAAAACAAGCAAAACCTGATTAACTGGTGCAGGTAGAGCTAACACAATGCAAAGAACTTGAAAAGCATCTGATTATTAACCTCTAATTCAAAAAGAAGATCTTATGCAGGTTGTCTGACTTGTGATAGGTGAACACAACATTCCTTCGTGAATGCATAAAAGCAAAAATCCAAATGTTGCCAGTACAGAATAGAAGCTGTGTTTCTGTGGGTCCAGGAGGCAAGCTCCCGAAAAACACTCAACATTTTGCACTACATTTTTTCTCGTACATTTTAAGCTGTCTTGTACTTCAATTTAAAACAAACAAAAGAAGTAAATTTGTTGCAATAGAAGCAATTTGGTGTCCGCTTTCTGAAAAGCTTGCTTACCCATTACAATTTCAAATCAATGCCTTTGACGCTATTCTCAGAAAATCCTAGCTGTGTCACACCTAGTTCACAGAGGCACTGGATGGCATTCATGTCCACGTCCTTTCTTTGGGAGGCCCTGTCTTGAATCCCTCCTAATTCATATTGGCACTGAGTTCCAGTTGCTTCAACATTTTAACCTGATACTCCCAATTCTCTCTTCTGCTCCATCTCCTCCTCCTCGCTCCCGCCCCCCCGGCTGAGACAAACATTATTTTGTCACCCACTCTCACACCATTGTTTGGTGTTCTTCGCACCCTGTACTAGAAGACTGAGTACCACCAAGTGGAATACAGCGGACAGTTTTTTGTCCCATTTGTAGAGTATCATGGGAATCATAGCAAAAGTAGAATGAGGATTCACTTGATTGTTGACAAAGGTAACAGGATACAGCTGTGAAGTACTTGACCAAATTAGGTGTGAATTCATCGGACCAAGAGAAAGTTCGGAGGAATATTAAATAAAATTGTTATCAGATTTGGGAAGTTAAATGAAAGACCATTTCCATTGGTTGGTGAATTAACACCATGAAAGCACAAATTTTCCAGAAAGTTAATGTCAGATTGGAAGGAATGTTTCCATGAAAAGTATATGAAATACGCTTCAAATGACTATTGAAACAAGATTGGTTATGATATTTAAGAAGGAATTAATTTAGCATTTCAAGAAAATTTGTAAAGATTAAGGAAAAGACAAATTTGTCCCGATTCTAGTGACTAGAAATCTTTATATAAAGACTTCGTATAACATTTTGTGCATCTTCATATAACACCGTCTAGAACAATATTGCAGAGTGCTTTACACCAAGTAGAATATACAAAGATGAAGGGAAATCTGGTCACTGTTGGGAAATGAAGACACAATCAAAGGGCACAGTTTAAAGATCATTTTGAAAACTGACGATCTGTTGACTAGTAAAGAGCTATTGGGAAGCTGCTGTAGATGATCCAATATAAGGAGCTGAAAGAACTTTGATCAGTGATGGAATAGCGAAGGCAAGGTATATCCAGTATTGGGAAAATTTTTCAGGCTAGAAGTGGTTGCAGAATCAAAGTATGCTTGAAGCAGGACTTGAACACAATGGCAAGGATTTTTTCATTGAGTTTGGGGTACTGAAAAATTGGTGGAGGCACATGGTAGTAAAGTTTTGGGCTTTGTGCAAGTTACAGCTGTCTACTATTTTTATGTCAGAAAGAATGGGCTATTTGAAGCAAAGAAGTATTTAGAATGTGTCCCCTTCAGTTATATTTTGTGAAGCACACATGGACAATCTTTAAGAAATCAAGCCTTGAGATTGTGGCCGTGGACGAGGGTGTCTATCAGAGATTGAGGAGTGTGCAGCTATGGGCATTATTTTGGAGATACAAGTCTTCAGCCCAATGCAACAACAGAGGCATGATCCCTTTTTCTCCTAAGCAAGTTTTGCATAGGGCCAGTTACAACACTGCATGTCTACAAGTTTGCACTTTTTACTTTTCTGAGATTCACGTCAGAATGTCTCATTGAGATGAAACTGTAGTTACATAGTGGTTCATAAATTATTATATTAAAATGTGTTTATTTTAATGCTTAACAGGTGACCAAGCTCGAAATTTCTTTCTGCAGTCTGGTTTGCCAAAGTTAGTACTGGCTGAAATATGGTGAGTACTGAAAACCGACCTTGCAATAAGTCACTTCATTTTCACAATGATCTCTTTGTCATATTTGAACTGCAGGCACTGAGACAAGTAAATATAACATAACATTTATAACCCAACGTAATGTGAAAACTGGGACTGGGCCTTTGTCCGACCAAACAGTTTTTCAAACTAGTGACTAAAGATCTGAGTGAAGCCTTGCCTGTCCAAATTTACTTTTAGCAACCACCAGTTAAACTAACCAAACTATCTTGTCCTCTTTGTGAGCAAATCATTGTAGCACTGTATTTATTGTGCTCATGAAGACACATTTTGTTATCCCGTGTTTCTTAGTTGCTAATCGGTAATTGATCTTTTTCATGTTTTTAAAAAAAGTTAATTTGCTGTTTGTTGCATATCTTGTTTTGTAAAGTTTCATTAGGCTATAATACTAAAACCTCAGTTATAGTCCTGATGTTTTTGATCCGGTTATTTTATGCATTGAGGCTGATATACTGTGATGTTTTCTTCTGATTGTTGTGTGTCACCCTTTATTTGATATCTCTCAATATTCCTGCCATAATCACTACCAATGATTGATCTGCATTTAGTGTGCTGTACTTAGCACTCAATGATTTCTTCAGTTGGAAGTGCAAGATCTATTATTTTACTACTGATTGTTTCTCCATAATTTAAACAACAAGCTGGGAGTCCCCAACAAACATCCGACTTATGACAGCTTGTACTTATGAACATGATCCCATAAAGAGGTATAATTTTAAAGGTCTGACATATGAACATTTACTGTACTTACAATTCGCTATTTTATGTTGTCCTGCATTGTGTTCCGATTTGCGTACAAATTGACTTATGAACGGACTCGGGAATTGAAACCTTTCGCAGCCCAGGGACTGCCTGTATTATTTCCACTGTAAACTTTAGTGAGATCCTAATAGAAGGATCTGTATAGATGATAAATCTAAATTCTCACGTGTTCAAGTTCTTCTACAGCTTTTCTCCACCCATCTCTGAAACTTGCTCCAGTCCTAATACTCCTCATAATCCCTGTGATTCTGTAATACATGTTCTCACCATTTCTTTCACCTCACCATTGATGGTCATATCTTCAGCTAAGTGGGCCCTAAGCTTCAGAATTCCATTGTTCTAACTCTGTCTCACTTCTGAAATCTACTTCTTCTAGCACACTTTTGGTCATCTGTATTAATATCTCTTTATGTGGCATTGTATCTGGCAATATGCCTGTGGAGCACCGTGGAAGGTTTTTTTTCACTAAGTTAATCGTACTTTCTAAAGGTTAATTGGTGTTGTAAAATAATGGTAAGCAAACAATAATGCCTGATAAAATATCAAATCATTTCAACAAATACTTGGCACTGTATTTTGCGCAGACTATTGTAACCAAATAGAGGATGATGTTGAAATATATTCACAAAATAAACTTCATGCGTAACGTTTTGAAATGTTTTCTATAGTAAATAACTTATAAAATTTATGGAAGAACTTATCATTGCAGATTTGTTATTTTAACATTTCTTAAACTGGGCTTATGCTTGGAGCAATGTTCTTTTAATACAGCTACAGGTGCATTATAACTTGCTACCTTTCATTCATAGGGAATATTCCACGCTGTACAAACATGATGCCTGCTTTCTTACATTACACACTTGTTCTTTATTTGGCCATTTTCTCCTGATGCCTCCTTTCTCTGTCGTCCAGTTACTTCTTTCCTGTCCCCTCTTTTTGGATAGTTTGTCTCCCGAAATCTTGACCCAACCCATCACTAGCCCTTTGCCTTCCAACTCTCTTTCTGCCCTTTGAAGCTGAAGTCCTGCTTGGATAAGCTCATTGCTACTCTCTGCTTCTCTTGGCAACTCCAGAGAGGCCCTCAAAGCATCATTAGTTGCATCTTGCAGAACACCCATTCCAACTGCACTATCCTCTTCTACTGTCGATCAGTTCATCCAGTATGCCTGTAGGACATAAATTTTGCTAACATTTTACTCATCCAAAATACCATGGCTTCCTCAAACTCTGTCACAGGCCACTATCAAGGCCCCTGTAGAAAATTTTCACACACAATAAAGACCTCACTGTGCATAACTCCCTAAACGCTCCTTCCCCTTACATCTTACAAGTCAGAGAAGCACTAGAACTTCTTTATCACACGATTGAATTGATGTATTATTGACTCTGCTCTTAGCTTTGCCCATCAAGTTAAATCTAAATCCTTCTTGCTCTGGAATTTCATGTGTTTCCTCACATCTCCCCCTCCTCCTCTCTCTCAGCTCAACTTATCAATGACCAGTATCAAGCTCTGTTCCCATTGAAGTATTGCCCACCCAATTTTCATTCCTGGCATCCATGCTAATATGATAATGCGGAAGGTTTCCGTTATTAAGTATTGTCTTCATGTTCAAAATTGCTGTCATTGCCTCTTGACCCCTCAATCCTGCAAATTGTTGGTCAACTGCAACTCACTTTGCTTTTCTAAGTCGGAAGCCAAAACATGCTCAAAAAATGTGTCCATTTTTACTGCAGCTCCTTATTTTAATCTTTTCAATTAAGTTCCCTTCCCTGCCACAGCACTGAAGTAGAATATTAAAATGTTTTTTCTTAAAATGATATTCGGTGTGTATCATCCAGTTCACTAAAACTGGCTTTGCTTTATTCCACTCTGAATCCAATCATGGCGAGAGCACTTCCAGCAAAGACTGCTCTTTGTGCCCCACAATGTTTTCTCTATTGCTCAAAGATTTGATCTGTTCCTCCATCTTCCTCATGAACGTTGCCAATGTTATCTACAAACTTAGAGGCAACTTCAACATGTATGTTGATGACAACTGACACTATCTTTATATTTCTCCCAGACCCCTAGTATTCCTGTAATTATACTACCCACTTGATCATGGAAAAGTTTCATTTACTAATTAAATATTAAGAAATTCAAGGTTGTTGTCTTTGGCCCGCAATTTCTGCAACATTTCCAACAATTAATTTCATCTCCCCAACCATAGTGTCAGTCTAAACCAGACTGTTTGCAATTTCAGTGCCCTTTGACCTGATTTTCTGAAACCCATATCGTGTTTAACATAAAATCCACTTATGTTCACCTCCATAAGTGCCCACTACTATTGCTGACACAACTTGCTTTGTTTAAATTCTTATCTATTCTTTTGTCATTTCCAGATTTGAATAAAATGTTTCCTAGTTATGACTTCAATTACTCCTCTTTCTGTAAACTTTAGCTCATTTTAGAAGCCAATGTAAGTATTCAGCTCCAGACAAAATCGTGTTCCTCATTACCCTTCTCTGATGTGCATTGATTTCTTCCCTTCCAGTCTCTCAAATTTAAAACTCTGATCTTCATGTTTGAATCTCTTTAAGACCTTGCCTTTCATTAGCTCTAACCTGATTGTTGCAGTATTCCCCAAAACCTTTTGACTTTCTATGTCGACATTTTGTGCTAACATTTGCAATCGTGCCTTCAGGTGTCTATGCTTCATACTACAGAGTTTTGTTCTTAAACCTCTCCAACTTTATACCTCCTTTCTCCTTTTAAGCTGCAATAGATTTATGTACTTCTAATGTGCATTCATGCCCACTCAAAAAGGGTACCTTTATATTCCGCAATGATATTCAAAAGGGCACCTTACCTCTCCAAAAGGGTACTCTACTTATCCAAGGAACCCTACAAAGCTTACACTTGATCCCAACATGTCTAATCTTCACATGTCATTTTTCCCACTCCCACTGATATTCAGACATGACTGGAGCCAGCTACTGCTTTATATCACCATTCGCCTCCATTGGAATATGGATGTGCAAGTCTCTGCAATGTAAGTTGTCAATTTTTTTCTTCCCTTCTCCATAGGACCCTGGCAGACCTGAACAAGGACGGAAAGATGGACCAGCAGGAATTTTCCATAGCAATGAAACTAATCAAGATGACCCTTCAAGGTCACCCAATGCCCAAGACTCTTCCAACTGTTATGAAACACCCACCAATCCCTTCACCCTTGGGCTCTGCACGATTTGGTAAATAAAATCCTCCTAACAAATGTAGAGTGGACTATTTAATGTACTGTACTTGGTCCTCATATAATATCTTAATGCATCATTCAAACTGCATTTATTGTAATTGGTTTAATAAAGGTAGTTTTGAGGCAATACATATTTGTGCTTTCTTAATCTTGCCTGTAGCAACGTGCATTGAAAATTGAGATGAATGTAGTTTTAAAGTGAAGTGGGGGTAGCACGAGTGTAATTGAACAAGGCTATACAGATGCAATTCATAACCCATTCTAAAAGTTTAAATTCTGCCCTTATTTTCACACTTGTTACATATTTTTAATGTAATTAATCATGCTTTCAGTAATCATGAGTACTGCTGTTTAATGTTACATATTTTAGTGTGCTTCTCCAAAGAATGCCTAAATCCAGTAATTCACCTGGGACTTCAGAATAGTTTAAATGGACATTGTACAAAATCTGAATGATCCAAGCACTCAACGTTCCTCTAGTTTTTATATTGAGAAGACCAAACTGTTGTCTGCTATCTCCAACATGAGCACCATTCATGAGCCATTGAGCTAATCACTGTCTGATTGTTATCTGAAGCTGAACCAGGAGAGATTTGCAACCTCTGCATTCACAATGATCCCAAACTTGTAAACCCATACTCTCCCTGTCACCAAAATTGCCTGCTTTCACCTCTGAACTGTCATCTGCCTCTGCCTATTTTGTATTAAAACACTTTTCCGTGCTTTTGTTTTTACCTCTCGATAAAGTATTCCAATAGTCACCTGGTAGGCCTTCAATCTTCCACCGTCCTCTGCCTGTATACTTCAGCTGTGCAGTTTGGAACAGCTTGTCATCATCTCTGTGCTCACTAACTTTTGTTGCTTCCTGGTGTAGAAATTCCACAAATTTGAAACAGTCTTCAAATCTATTAGATAGGCATATGGATGATACTATAAGGCAGGGGTGAAGGTTAGATAGACCTTAGGTTTAGGGTAAAAGTTCAACACAACATCGTGGGCCAAAGGGCCTGTACTGTGCTGTACTGTTCTATGTTCTGTGTTCTATGTAAATCCCTTGGTAGCCTGGCCTTCTCCTGCTCTACAACCCTTCGAGATTTTTGTGTTTCCCAACTCCTGTCTTGAGCATTCCAGACTTTGTTCACCACTTTATTGGTATTTGTGCCTTTACCCTCTTGGCCCTAAAGTATAAAATTAAATGATTAAATCTTCACCTCTTGACTTCTGTCCTCCTTTAAGATGCTTCTTTTCGTCACCTGTCTTTACTATATCTCTATTGGGATAGCTTGCTTGGTGTCAAATTTTATTTGAAAATGTTCTTATGAAGCATGTTGGGATATTCTGCTTGGTACTAATAAAAGCAACTTTTTGTTCCTGAATTCCTAATGTTAACTTTGAAAATTGTTAATTATTTGGTGTTAATGTGTCATTTTCTGCTTAATTATGTAAAATGGCGAGTATTTAGAAGAATTGTCCATAATGCTGAATTACAAATTGTTCATGTTTAACTTCCAAAACAGGGATGGGAAGTATGCCAAATCTGTCAGTCCCACCAAACATGCCTTCATTTGCTTCCTTGGCTCCCACATCGTCATTGACCTCAGGGACAACAATGCCACCTTTGGGTATGTCAGTTCCCCTGCTTCCTGCTGTTAGTACATCAGCATTGCCAAATGGTACATCTATTCTTATACCTCCAATGTCTGCACAGAGTTCTGCAAGTAAGTAATATAAGCCGATTTGATTTATAACTTCAGACTTGGTTTTTTTAAACTAAACATTCCTTATAGTCTTTTGTTTTTTCCTACTTGTCCATCATAGATTTTTTTCTTTTAAATTTTTATTTCGAGAAAATGAAATAGAGCTCTTCATTGTTTCATATGTTGTAATAAGTGATGCCCTGTTTTAAAAACACAGATGGTTGTGCTAACTATTGGAAGTATTCAGTTTTCCGTTTCAAACATGTCCCAATCCAACATATCCAAGGTGAGAGATGAGGGATTCTCATTGCATCAGTTGGATTTGAATTGAATGGGACTGCCTACAGCTGATAGGCCCGTCCTGGGTCATTAATAACAATGAAATGTCATTGTTGCATGCTGACTATTACTTTGAAATAAAACGTAGCTTACCTTGAACATATAATTCATCCCTCTTTTTGCTGTAGGTCTCAAAGAAGCATTGATGTAGAATGCTGAAAATGCACAGCATGATCAATAAGCATCTGAAAATGAAAGATTGATTAATGTTTTGAGTGTGACCCTTTATTAGACTTGATGTTCTTTTCCAGCATTTCTATTTCTCAGATTTAAAACATTCATATTTTAATTGTAACTTAAGTGCTTAATGTTCTGCTATATTAAGGCAGCTTTGACATTTTCATGAAGTAAAATTCTGTAGATGCTGGAATTCTGAAAAAAGAACAGAAAATGGTGGCACACTCAGCTAGTCTGGCAACATGTGACAAAAGAAATAAAGTTAACCTTTCAGGCATGACCTTTAATCAGAACAAGGAGACATTAGAAATGTAATGACTTTCAAGTCAGTAAAATTGGAGAGGGTGAAAGAAAAATGAAAGCCTGTGATGGATGGGGCAGAAGACAGGAGACATAAAGTGACAAAAGAGATGGTTAGGCAGAATGGATAGAGAATAGTAGTAGGGCAGTTAAAGAATGAAACGATGACTCCAAAGACGATGTAAATGGCAGAATATGAACTATTACAAGAAAAAATTAGGACTGATGCCTGCAAGGAAAAGGGCACAAAATTGATGAAGGGCAGTGGTGATCAGAGCAGAGATTATATTTTGAAATTATGCCTGCGTTGACTTCAGAAGGCTATGAAATGCCTAATCAGTAGATGAGATGCTGTTCCTGGAGTTTGTATTGAACTTCATTGCATGAGAGAAGTTTGGAGAATTAATACAGACGGTCTGCAGAATCTTGAGATTCTGCTTGTGAACTAAGCAGAGATGTTCCACAGACTGATCTCCCAATCTGCGTTTCATTTTTGTAGCGTAGAGGAGACCACAATGTGAGCACCAAATATTTTGAGAAATTGAAGGGAGTACATGTAATTTGCTGCTTCACCCAGAAGGATTCTTTTGGGGCTCTGGAGGGTTAGGTGAGAGAATTTGAAGCATTATCTCTTTTTCTATTTCTACAGATGTAGCCAGATCTTTGAGTACTTCCAGTATTATATACTTTTATTTGCCTTTTCATTAATCATTACAAATGCTCAGTTAACTGAAAATGAATTTATTTCTCATCAATTAATGTTTTGCTAATTAACTCATTAATTTATCTGTGGCTGTCTCCAAGGTAAATGCATCATAATGCAACACAGCCTTGTATTTTATTCACTGCCTGTCATTCTCAATTTTGGTATCTTTGAAGGAATTAGTAACATTAGTTAGCTAATATTAATATAAAAATTATAAATTCCTGTTAATAACCACAATCCACAGTTGACATTTAAGGCAGAATAAGTTCTATAATAATATGGGTTGTAGGTTATTTATCGAAATAAGGTCTTCATCTCCAAACATTCCCTCTTTCTATGCACCCTCCTTTACCATGTTCCTTTTCCTGGATTTATAGTTTCAGCACTCTTGCTGAAAGTTCAAGTTTTCTCCAGCAAATCGATCCAAATAGTTGGTTTCCATTCTAAACTCCATTTAGCATGTTTGCTAGTGGGCAGGAAGCTGGATAGTTTGATCTGAACTTTGCCAGTTTTGGTATTGTTTTAACATGCAGTGATACACGCCTCTCCTTTGACAGTGGATCATATTTTGTAGTTGAAGTGTCTCCACACAATAGCTGAACGTTAATGTGCAGTTACAGCTTTCTAACGGACATAGTAGTTACTGTTCTATTTAACCGAAACCACTGCTTAAAGTTGGATGTTGTTCAAGACCCATGTTTGCTGGAAGTACAGCAGTACTTAGGTTGTTTTTAAGGCTAACCACTAAACATTAATTGTAAGGAAGACATTTTTCATCTAACCAACTAGTTGTGAAAGTATTTGAGTCAAACAATACAGAGGCACAGTTATAAGAATGTAACAAATAGGAACAGGAGTAGGCTGTTCAGCCCCTCAAGCCTGCTTCAGTATTCAATAGGATCATGACTAATCCAACATGCTTCACGTCCACTTTTCTGCCCTTTCCCTATAACCCTTGATTTCCCTATTGATTAAGAATCTATCTATCTCAGCCTTAAATATATGTGAGGACTCTACCCCACAGCTATCTATGGCAAGGAGTTCCAAAGATACTCAACTTTGAGAGAAGAAATTCTTCTTCATCTCGGTCTTAAATTGGCATCCCTTTTTTCTGAGACTATTCCCTCTGGTTGTAGGAAACATCATCTTCGTATTTAGCCTGTCAAACCCCTTAAGAATCCTATATGTTTCAATGAAATCACCTCTCGTTTTAAATTCCAATGAGTTGTACATTGATGCATAATTTTGACCTGCCTCCACACTGTCCCTTCTTAACAGTTAAAGAGTAGGTTTAACCTACCAGCTGCTTTACAGATGTGTTCCTTTGCCCTTGATAGAGTAATGAACATCATATTCTGGTGTATGGAGGGAAGTTTTGAAGTAAATTATGTAATGTGGAAGGAACCTATTATTGTATTTCTATCCTGAACTTTGTTTCTCATGTCATGCTGTTCATTATTTTTTAGCACTCCCCCATTCTGGACCTCTGAGGCAGCCTTTAGCAGGATTTGGAGGCACTGGCCTGCAGAAGGCTCAGTCATTGATTGATCTTGGCTCCAGCAGGTACAAGCAGAACTTATTTTTATATAATATTGCTCTGTCCAATTTGGACGCATTACACAGAGGAGATATGTGTTGCAAATTTAGTCATCTGACTAAAACAAACCAATACTGTTCTGAGTTAAAGTAAACATTACATAAGTAGACGTTTTATTTCCTGCTGAAACTGTTGAATCAGTCAGGAGCAAAGCAACATTATTGATCAGAAATTTAATAGATTTATATTTTGTTTCCAATAATCCAGATAAACATCTTGTGATTATTTATTCTTACTTGACAAGCTGTCAGAAAATCCTTCTCCTATCCGTCGCATGATAGAGAACATGTACATTTTGAAAAGTTTCAAGGAAAACAGTTAGTGAAATTATTGCAAATTTATAATTTGATCCTGCCCCACTGGATAAGTATTACCATAATATGGTAAACACAACAGGTTTTTTTGTTTAAAGATCCATAAGACGTAGGAGCAGAAATTAGGCTATTCAGCCCATTGAGTCTGCTCCGCCATTCTATCATGGCTGATAAGTTCCTCAACCCCATTCTTCCACTTTCTGCCCACAACCCTTGATCCCCTTCATAATCAAGAACCTATCTATCTCAGTCTTAAATGTACCCAATGACCTGGCCTCTGCAGCCTTCTGTGGCAGTGAATTCCATAGATTGACCACTCTCTGGCTGAAGAAGTTTCTCCTTATCTCCATTCTAATTGGTCTTCCCTTTACTCTAAGGCTGTGCCCTTGGGTCCCAGTCTCTCCTACTAATGGAAACACCTTCCCAACATCCAGTCTGTCCAGGCCATTCAGTATTCTGTAAGTTTCAATTAGATCCCCCCCTCATCCTTCTAAACTCCAATGCATATAGTCCCGGAGTCCTCAAATGTTCCTCATATGTTAAGCTTTTCATTCCTGGGACCATTCCTGAACCCACTCCAGAGCCAGTATAACATTAGTGAGATATGGGGCCCAAAACTGCACATAATACTCCAAATGTGGCCTGACCAGAGCCTTATAAAGCCTCAGTAGTACATCCCTGCTTTTATATTCAAGTCCTCTCAAAATAAATGCCAACATTGCAATTGCCTTCCTGATTACTGACTCAACCTGCAAGTTTACCTTGAGGGAATCCTGGACTAGAACTCCCAAGTCTCTTTGCACTTCAGACTTCTGAATTTTCTCCCCATTTAGAAAATAGTCCATGCTTTTATTCTTCTTACCAAAGTGCATGACCTCTCACTTTCCCACTTTGTACTCCATCTGCCACTTCTTTGCCCACTGTCCTAACCTGTCCAAATCCTTCTGCAGCTTCCCCACCTCCTTAATACTACCTGTCTCTCCACCTATCTTTGTACCATCTGCAAACTTAGCCAGAATGCCCACAGTTCCTTCATCTAGATCATTAATGTATAAAGTGAAAAGTTGTGGTCCCAACACTGACCCTTGCGGAACACCATTTGTCACCTGCTGCCATCCTGAGAAAGACCCTTTTATCCCCACTGTCTGCTTTCTGCCACACAGCCAATCTTCTATCCATGCTAGCATCTTGCTTCTAACACCATGAGCCCTCATCTTACTCAGCAGCCTCCTGTGCGGCACCTTATCAAAGGCCACCTTGAAGTCCAGGTAGATAACATTCATTGGCTGTCCTTGGTCTACCCTGCTCGTTACTTCCTCAAAGAATTCTAGCAGATTTGTCAGCATGACCTCCCCTTGATGAAACCATGCTGACTTTGCCCTGTTTTACCATATACTTCCAAATATTCAGAAAGCTCATCCTTTACAAATGGACTCCAAAATCTTACCCACGACTGCGGTTAGGCTAATCGGCCTGTAATTTTCCGTCTTTTGCCTGACTCCCTTTTTTAACAGTGGTATCACGTTAACGATTTTTCAGTCCTCTTGGACCCTCCTTTGCAATTCCTTTTTCAGTTAAAATAGAAGAATGTCTATTTCACACAATAATTAACAGGTTGATTAATGAAACATGATTGAGTGTGTTTTTTTTTAATTGGTTGCCTAATACTGCAACATAGGCATTCCCCTGTTAATTATTGTAAGGAATTTCAGTTAATCTTTGAAAGAGAGAGCATAGTGAAAATAGGGAGAACTTGGTGATTCAGCCCCAGCCTCTTGGCATTCACAGAGCCATGTGGAATTTGACACCTCAGTTGTGTTGATACATTTGGCAAATGCAGAATACCAAACACTGATTTTGTTTATAAAGTGTCTTGTTTTTGAAGGCTCACCAGCAGCTGAATGAGGATTGTTCTTTAATCTTTATATTGACTACATCTGGATGTAAAACATCCTCATTACAGAATGTAACTCTTTTGTCCGTGTTCATAGAATGCCACGATTGAAAAAGTTGTCATTATAGGCTAAACAAACACACTTGTAATAGTTCATTAATAGATTCATGAACATGTTAACACATTTGTATAATGTTACTTTGTCCACAATTTTAAATAGGTAATATTTGTTACAACAGTGAAGAGGAATATTTCAAACAAGTGCATAAGTCTGCTTTTTGAAATGGTAACAAATGGCTGTTTAAATTTTTGTCAATGAGCTTTTTAAAATGCAATTTTTTGAAATGAAAGACTGACAGAATTGTTGAGAATGGTCCTCTAAGAGCTGCTGTTTGCTAGTGCTGTGCGTAAGTTTTGCTTTGTTATTGTTATAGTTATAGTTGAATTTGACAACCCAGTAAGATAGTAGAGTTGAGGTGGTCGAATGTTAGGATATCAATTGTGTAAGATTCAGTTATGGTAATACTATTGAATATAACCAGTTATGGTTAGATTCTCTCTTCTTGGAGATGGTCATTGCTTGGCATATCAATGGCTTGTTTGCTGCCTACCACTCATCAGCCTAAGCCTGGGTGTTTTCCAAGGGGGCAAGGACTGCTTCAGTACCTGAGGAGTTGTGAATGGCACTGAACTATGTGTCATTATCGGCAAGCATTCCTATTTCTAACTATGATGGAGAGAAGATCATTGATGAAACGGCTGAAAGGCAATACCCTAAGGACCTTGATTGACGCCCAGCAACCACCTTACACATTCACGCCCTCACCCACTGTACACAACAGCAGTGTACGTGATGCACTGTAGAATCTTGTCAAACCTCCTTTGGCAGGAGCATCTAAATCTACACAGTTTACCAGCTAGAAGGACATGGGCAGAACACCGCCACGTGGTTCCCCTCCAAATTGCACTTCATTTTAACTTGGAGCTACGCAGTGATTGCTTAGTTATCTCTGGGTCAGAATTATGGTGCTGCCTTACCATCAAGACTACGGGACTGTACAGTACAAGAACGTGGCTCACAAGGTAATTGGGTATGGGCAACTTAAATTGACATTTCTATGAGGCTCACACCCCATGATCAAATGTGAAAAGAAGTTCCACCAGCAGTTTTCTCCTCCATCTCATGCCTGTCCACAAGACTGATGGGATGTATTTCAAGATCCAACTGAAAGGAAGCAAGAGCCCGAACTCGAAGACTGTAGACAAGGATCTAGCTCTCAATATATCTGAACTCCAGTGGTTCAGCCATATGTAGCAAGTCACTGCTGACCTTTTGCTACTTCCTGAAAAAACAATCACTTCCTTATGAGCAATGGTTGTCAGGATGCCTATCATTGGAGGGCCATTGTAATCCCTTACGTGCCCAAATGTAAATGAAGTATACTGTTGTCAAATTCCACCTATTAGGAGTCCAGATTCCCAGCCCAAAAATTGCTCTGCCATTCTGACAGAGTGGACAAGATTTGGCCCACAGTAATTTTTACATCTTATTGTGTTGATGAAATGTAGGACCATGAACTTTAAGACTTTGTATTTTCAGGAACAAAAACAGAAGTTGCTGGAAAAGCTCAGCAGATCTGGCAGCATCTGTGAAGAAAAAGTCAGGGTTAACGTTTCAGGTCCGGTGACCCTTCCTCTGAACTGATGGTAGCTGGGAAAATGTGGTTTATATGCAGAAAATAGGGAGGGGGATGGAGTAGGGAGTAAACAATCGGATAGAGATTGAAGAGAGAGAAGAGCAGTTGGATAGACGAAGGAGTTGATAGCGATCTGGCTGGGGGGGTGAGTTGCTGTTAATGGGGACTGTAAGTTGCCAACAATAGGTAGTGTGTAATGGCAGACAATGTGATAACAAGTGCTCGTTTATCTCCTCCCTCACCACTATCTAAGGGCCCAAACATACTTTCCAGGTGAAACGATACTTCACCTACGGTTCCCAGAATCTAGTCTACTGCATTCACTGCTCACAATATGGTCTCCTCTACATTGGGGAAACAAAGCGTAAACTGAGTGACCGCTTCACAGAACATCTATGTTCTGCTTGCAACAAAGACCCTAAGCTACCTGTTGCCTGCCACTTTAACACACCACTCTGTTCTCTGGCCAACATCTCTGTCTCTGGCTTACTGCAGTGTTCAGTGAAGCTCAACGCAAGCTGGAAGGACAACACCTCATTTTTCGCTTGGGGACTCTGCAGCCCTCCAGACTCAATATCGAGTTCAATAATGTTAGGGCCTAAACTCTCCCATGTCCTAGCCCTGTATCCCACACACCAGGCCTGTTATCTCGTAACCTGCCATTACACATTACCTATTGTTAGTCACTAACGGTACCTATTGGCAGCTATTCACCCTCCTAGCCAGATTGTTAGCAACTCCTTTGTCTATCCAACTGCTGTTTTCTCTCTTTGGGCTCTATCCTATTGTTTACTCCCTACCCCATACCCCTCCCCATTTTCTGCATATAAACCAACGTTTTCCCAGCTACTATCAATTCTGAGGACGGGTCACTGGACCCGAAACGTTAACTCTGATTTTTTTTCTTCACAGATGCTGCCAGACCTGCTGAGCTTTTCCAGCAACTTCTGCTTTTGTTCCTGATTTGCAGCATCCACAGTTCTTTCGTTTTTTATTTCATATTTTCGGCATTTGTTCTTGAAGAAGTTGTAATTTTCATGTAAATAGTGTGAGGTCGATTGCTTTGAAACTTTGTGACTGAAATTTCCAATGATTAACTTTTGCTCTTTCTGTTTCCTTTCTTGTAGCAGTTCATCATCATCTAATACTTCTCTCACGTCACCAAAAGTGAGTTCCTCTGACTGGGGAGTTCCTCAGTCTGCAAGGCTCAAATATCGACAGTTGTTCAATGGCCTTGATAAATCCATGAGTGGCTACCTCTCAGGTCCGTTAAAAATATATATATATATATCGTTGATTAAGCTTTTTTCTTTCATGCAGACTTAATGTTGGTCATTTGGTTGAACATTCCACTTTAGAACCTCACCCATCACAATCCAACTCATGACGAATTGTGTTGGAAATATCAATTGAAGAATTATTTCCATTGAAGATGCAGTCTGCGACAAGACAATTTCCATTCTAACTTAATGAGAATATGCATACGTTTAAAAGTATAAATGTTTGCATTAAAGGGACATTAATTGTGGGGGATATTTAAAACTCAGCCCAGACACACACACAATCCCTCCTGATTTTCAGTGCCCCATTATTCAGACGTAACATAAACATTTGGATTCAAGGTACTGTTTCCTGTTCGCTAAACTTTTATCTGGTTGGGATGAGGAAAATAATGACCTGTCCAGGTTTTGCTAAATATGAATAGGCAGTAATAGTTGAAGTACTTATTTAATTTTTATTGCTACAAGTACCTTGCTAATTGAAATGTTTTAATCAGAAAAGGCAAAAATTGTGTAACACAAATAGTGAGGCTGTACTGAATGAAGGACAATGCCTCTGGCTGTTATAAGTACTATATGCTAGCCTGCTAATGATTTGGATTTGTTTTCAGGCCCCCAAGCCAGAAATGCTCTTGTACAGTCCAATTTGTCTCACAACCAACTAGCTACCATATGGTGAGTTCTTCTAGATGATTTTATGGTCAGAAGCTTCCACCTGTTGACACAGTGTCCAATTAATTGATTTTCAGATTTAATTCAAAGCGCTAATTGTTGAATATTGCAGGATTTTGCACAGTATGATGTTTCCTGTTGGTGCTGCTTAAAACCCTGTTATGTTTTGTGTCATAAGTTGCAATCTGATTGAAGAGGTATGAGAAAAATCTGTTGGGTACTGCATCTGGCTGTTCTTATATATAAAAAAAGCTACAGTCATTTGTTTTTAATATGTATTGCTTGTTAGGTAAAACAACTTGTGGTGCTTAAGAGCGAATGCTGGTCATGAAAAGGATGTTGTAGCAGTCGGGGTGGCATTAAAAGCATTATGGAAGAGAGAAGTTTTGTGGAGGTTTTGAAAAGAAAACACAGCAGGCTACATATAACACAGCGAAGTACCTCTGAATAGTTTTCTTTGTTTACAGAGATGTAATTAAATGTAATTGTGTTCAGAAGGAGCCATGGTATAAATAACCAAAAACTACTTCAAAGGATATGTTGTGCAGGAGTGGGAAGTGGGTGTGGGATTCTGAAGCTGAAAGAGGTGCCACCAATTGTAGAGTAGGCAGCATGGATGCAGAATAGGTCAAATATGGAGGAAAACGAGTGCTGGAGGATGGTATAGGGGATAAATTAAAGCTTGGAAAACATATAGATATGAGGATGAGAATTTTCAGTTGTTGGAAGGCCAGGGTCAACGTAGGTAGGAAAGGCAGGGCTGGTGAGTCCTCTGGGATAGAATAGGGTCAGCAGTATTTTGAACAAGCTGATTTGAATTGAATTGAAAGGTGGAGAGTGGTGATTACCCAGGAGAACATGGGAATTTAGGGAGGCATAATAGTATTGTCACTGGTCTAGTAATCCAGGGATCCAGGCTAGAAGTAAAAAAAATCTAAACTTAAAACAAACTCAGTCTGATGTTGACCAGGAAACCATTGTCAATTGTCATAAAAGCCCATGTGGTTCATTCATTTCCTTTGGAAAAGAAAATATGCTGTCATCACCTGGTCCAGCCTACGTGAGACTCCAGACCCACGGTAATGTGGTTGACTCATAACTGCCCTCTGAAATGGCCTAAGAAACCACTCAGTTTAAGGGCTGTAAGCCTTGCCAGGGACTACCAAATTCCATGAAAGAGAAAGGAAAACTGTGGTAACAAAGGCATAAGTAAGGGTTTAATTGACTGACGTGTTGGTAGGTACAGAGGCTTTAATGGCACAGAAGTGGAAATAATTGGTCCAGTCTTTATCATAAGCTTGGAATTCAAAGCTAGGGGCAGTATAGAATGCTGAGGTAGCAAACAGACGGAGACAGTTGCTGAGGGCTGTGGGTGGTTCAAGAAATGATTCATGAGGTTACACAGCTGATGCCATGGGATTATAGACAATGTCTTCTGTCTTTCAAATGTTTAACCACAGATAATTGTGGTGCATCCAAGATTGGATATTGGATGAATAGTCTGACAACCCAAAGGCAGAAGTGACGAACAAGTTCTGGATGTTATCAGGTTTTGTTGAATGATTCAAAGAACTATGTCTGATATTAGGGCAAAAGCAGTTTTGGCAAAGCCATAATCTATAGTAGAATAGAGTGGTTCCTGGGACTTGCAGCTGGTGTGCACCACTTGGAGGTGGGGCGCTAAATAATGACTACCCATCATTATGCATTGCAAAATCCTGGCAAAACCAGCAGCCTTTGAACAAACTATTTGACAGTTTTCCTTTATCTTATCCTTTAAAATAATCTTAACCATGTGTTCAGAGAAAATACTTTGTTGTTCAGAAAGCCAACAAGAAATGTCCCGCTAAGGCCCTTCATCTGTCACATTGATGAATTACAGGAACCTGGCAGATGTTGACCAGGATGGAAAGCTCAAAGCAGAAGAGTTTATTTTAGCAATGCACTTAATTGAAATGGCCAAGTCCGGTCTACCTCTTCCTCTCTCACTTCCTCCAGAACTGACACCACCTTCTTTTAGGTGAGTCAATTTTGTTTTTTTCTAGCACAGTGAAACAGTGCAGACATTTTAATTTTCATTCCTATTAATTCTCATGACATCTAGCCCATGTTCAGTAGGTTAGAGCTGCATGAGTGTGAACAATCTCTGCATTTCACCCAAAGATCCATTGTCTTATGAGTCACCTTGAAAATCTAGCACAAGCTGACTGCTGGAAAAAGTCACTCGTAGGCAAAGACTTAGATAATTTACAGTTGGACATGGCATTGTCATGACTTAAAATTTTGTCTTGGAGAAATCTCCACAAAAATGTTGACAAGTTAGATTTAGCTGACTGGAGGGAGATGAGTTCTGAAAGCATTTGAATTTATTTTCTTTGAGTAAACATACATCCTCCTCCTTTCAGGAAAACACTTGATGCTTAATTAATTTTTCAGCATGTTAGAACCGATTGTAATTCTATCTTTTAAAACAAATGATATGCTTAGGAAGATGACATATAATTTAACTGTCAAACTACAGGTAATATAGAGCTTCAATGTAACTGTACTGGGCTAAATTAATGTGATTAGGAATTTAATGCCTAACATGTTAATTTATGAAGTGAATCCTTTTCTAATGTGCTCATATAATAACCCCATATAGTACTGAGTTCTGTCTTTATAAGAGAAAAAGACATACTGTTGTTCCAGTCCTGTCCCAGGCCCCATGCTGACAGGTGGACAAGAAGTTACCTGTCACAAAAACAGAAATTGCTGGAAAAACTCAGCAGATCTGGCAGCATCAATGGAGAGAAATTAGAGTTAACATCTAGGGTCGAGTGACCCTTCCTTAGGGAAGTTCTTCTATGCTTTATCTATTTTAACAAATAGCTTCAGGAAGAATAACCAAACCTTAGAAGGGAGTTCTGACAAAATCGCAAACATATTAGTCTCAAATTTTCATTTTTAGATGTTAATGAACTTATTATGCATTTCACACTATTTTAAAAACATTATGAAGCCACAAATGGGCAATGACCCATTTAGAGTGAACCAACCCAGAAATGCCAGTTCGAAAAGTGAGTACTCAGTTTTCTTTGTCCTTTCTGCATTTGGCTTCAACTTTTATAAAGTTGTGTTTGCAACCAAGGCCACTGCTAGGTGGAGCGCCAAAGGAATCTGGAAATGCCCAGATTTTTATGAAAATATGTATTTATAGCAGAATCTGCATATTAAGACATTTCAAGTTTTGCTGCATTCATAAATTGTTTTCAGTTAAAATAAAGCTTGTGTGTTGATATTGTTTTCTGTCTAGCTACATAATAGACCCAGAACCCAGTATGTAAATCAGAGGGAACTGGCATTAGTACACAACTGTGCAAATTGCTGGCATGAATGTTTCCAGTAATTATAGGGTCAGTGATATGAATTACAATATTTTAATACTATATTTATTTTTGATTCTCACTAATGTTGAAAATAAAGGACAGCTCTATGCCAGTGTTGTATGTCAGTGGTGCCACTGCTGTGTGGCAGCCATTTTTAATGGTGGAGCCCTTTGCCTAGTTGGGAACAAAAACTCAATTTTTAAAGGTGAATTTAATTCTTTGTTTATGTGGGTCATAGTGATATTTATAACCCAACTGATCGTTAGGTCAGCCCTTGCCAACAATGTAGAAAATGTTTGTAATCCTATAAAAACATAAATTGGAAATGGTTTTAGTTTTGTTTTTCTTTTCTCCAGAACAAGCAAATGGGGTGATGGAATAAATGGAGCCCCATCTCAGTATCAGGATGTTACACAGGAACTCCAAGAAGCTCAGAAAAAATCACCTGGTTAGTTGACCGGACTGAATGTGTCTTATTTCTTTCATGAATATGTTGAATATTATTAATAGTAAAATGTGTTATAATTTCTCTTTTCATCTTGTCAGCATTGTAATAGTGAAAGTTTAACATTCATTATGTTTGAATAAGCCATCACAGAATGCAGTCCTGTTTGTTTATGGTCTACACCAATACAATGTGGCAAAGAGCCTCTGTTGCTAACGTATCCTAAGTAATGCTACTCAAGTGCACATAGCACAAAACATGCGCATTATCAAACACACAGCAAATAGCATTGTTGTAATCTTAGCCGTAAAGTACTGTGTTAGTGCAAGTTGCAGTAAGATTTTAGTGCCTTCTGCTCAAAAGTTTGTGTTGTAACCAGTCTGGTTAGGTTTTTTGTGTCATATCCATATTTTTGTGTGTGGTTGCTTTACTTTGGATAAAATGTATAACTGTTTTCAGTCTGGCAAGAGTTAATTGCACATTGTTAAATTGCGTTACATCTCACTTCATGTGACTTTACTTGAATTCTCCCTTTACTGCATGTCAATTGATTAGATTAGTTTATAACAAGTGTTGCAATGGTCAAGGTTAAAATTGTGCCAGTGTTGTTCTTCTGTAGCACTTCTACTAGTAGTATGCGTGTTCAAAACATTTACAAGAGCAGACAAGTCAGGGCTTTCTGATAGTTCTTGCTGATGTATTAATTGTGAAGAAATCAGTGAGATGGCCAGAAGTTTCACTGTGGAGTCACATGAAGTCAGAAGCACTGAAATGGGATCACACAAGGAAAAAATTTGGGAAGCACCAACATGATAAGTAGCCAACAGTAAAATAGCTAGCAAAAGTCCAAACAAAGGCTTTGAACTATTTTTCGATTACATGCTTGAAATTGTATTCATCCTTAATATTTTTAAAACTAATAGCAATTAATATTTGCAGTCACTTTTGAGGATAAAAGAAAAGCTAACTATGAAAAAGGGAATGTAGAGCTGGAGCGCAGGCGTCAGACCCTTCTAGAACAGCAACAAAGAGAGGCTGATCGAAGAGCACAGCGGGCCAGGGAGGAACAGGAGAGAAAGGAGCGTGAGCTACAAGAGCAGGAACGGAAAAAACAACTTGATCTGGAGAAACGATTGGAGAAGCAACGTGAGTTGGAAAGACAAAAGGAGGAGCAAAGGAGAAAAGAAATTGAAAAACGAGAGGTTTGTAATAAAGATTTTATTTATGGAAAAAAATGCATTTTCCAGATTCTGAGTGGTGGGTGTGGGTTGAAATAATTTCCTAGGCTTTCCAGCTTCAGTATGCTGTGCTCTGAAGTCAGATTGTGATTTTATACAGGTAAGATCTCCAGTCATGACAGTGGGGAGAGATGGGATTGGATTTCAGTACAGTCACCCCAAGTTGCTGACCAGTGCCTCCTAACACCTGGCTTATTCAACATTGGCAGAGATCACCTGCAGATTTGTATGAGAGATGGAGGGGAGACAATCATAATGTGTGCCAAACTATTTAATTCTGAATTTGATTCTGTCGGTTTATGATGCGCAAACCAAGAAAGTCAACTCACTAGGTGATCTGTAATAACTCACTATTACCAGCGGTTATACAATCCATTCACATGATGCTTTGCTGTTGCTTACAAGAATCAAAAATGCTTTCTTTATCTGCATATAGATGTATACATCATGGGATTGCTTGAGGCAATTCATGGTTAACCATTAAATAGTAGCAGTTGGTATAGATTTACTTCATCAGGTGCTGGTAACATGTGTAAAGTAGCACAGATGAATTTCTCAGAGCTGGTGTGAGGCATACATATTTGTTGTCAACATTCAAGAATTTACTAATGTACTGGAAATAGCTTTGACTGGTATCAGCCTGGCAGTATACACATAATAGTGATGGGACTTGTGCACTGACGTCTCAAGCAATGCCAATAATAATGCCATCGGGCATGCACTTATGCTCAACTTTGTAATGGTTATTAATATTTTTTTGGGTGGTGTGGTTTTGAGTGTTTGCTCTTTTTCCTTGAACGTAGAATTTGTAAGTTTGAGTTCCTTTAGGAAATTAGTGCTCTTGAGCTATATTTGCTTTTGTTGTGCACCTTTAGGCAGCGAAGCAGGAACTTGAACGTCAGCGTCAGCTCGAGTGGGAGCGGATTCGACGACAAGAACTCCTCAATCAACGAAACCGGGAACAAGATGAGATTGTCCAGTTAAAGGCCAAGAAAAAGAGCCTGGAACTTGAACTGGAGGCATTAGTAAGTAGATGTGCAGGCCTTAAAGTATGGTTCATACTTAACAATAACGCTTGTTCCGTCTTTCTGCCATTGGGTCTATTTTTCATCTAAACAATTAAAATTGAAATTATGGATGAGGCTTCCGTTCCTCACTCTATGAATTTCCTGTATTAACTTTGCCCAGGAGATCCAAGACATCGGGATTCATTACTAGGAAAATCTAACTAATTTTTGATTATAGTATTTTCTGACTTCTTCCAATTCATCCAATCTATCGTATTTATAACCATTACAACCAGCATGACTTTTTCCACAGATACAAAAAAAATGTTTCTGGCTGATTGGATACTAGATGAGATTTGTTAAATCAGTGCTTCAACAGTTTTGGTGGATTATGCTTCAACCTGTCCCCCCAGCACACGCACACATGCATGCACACCCACAACCACACCTGTACAGACATTCAGCTACTAACTGTTTGAATTGCAGTGTTCAATATCTGAATGTACAGGAACTAATGGAAAGAACATACCAAAAGGGCAGCACCCTTTACAGCACTTCCAGCTCTCCAAAAACACAGCCACAACAATGTGGGGTTGATTATAGGTTTTGAGTTCACCTACTTTTCAAAAATCACAACAGTGAAGGTGGTGTTCAGTTAATTCTGAGCATTTTCTAACTAGATCAAGAAACCTTTTGAGAACTTAATTTTTTTTTAAATCCTTCTGGATTTTGAGAGAAACTGAACAGTCCAATGGATATTAATGGAAACTGTATTCAAAAATGAATGCTTATTAGATATGTCTGAGATCCTCTTCATCTTATCAAATCTTCATTTTCTGAATAATAACAGGTTTTGCTAAAACTGAATGCAACATGTCCCGTTGAAAATTTCATGGCGGTCTTTTTAAAATTTATAGTTTATTGTAAGTTAATTGACTGAAATGCTGTTTTAAACACAAGACCTTCTGTGTACAGGGGTTTTGCTATAACGCATGTTCTCGCAACACGAATTGACTATAGCGCTTTGGACAAATAGGGGAATGTTATTTCTAAAACGTGAACTTGTGTTGGCTATAATGCGGTTCAATTGGTGCGCATCAACATCACATGAGCATTTTGCGGGCTTTGTCCTGAGCAAGCGCAACGGGTTAGCACTAAAAGAGTCTCTGTGTCAACATCACGCGATCATTGTGCTTTCTGTGAGAGTACAGTACTCTGTTTTTTGTTTTCTGCAAATTCTGCTGAGTTACCCACAAACTGCGAGGATAAAGAGGCAAGAATGTTAGCAAAAAGTGTCCTGGTGGTAAAATTGTGGGTGGTGAAAATTAATAAAAGGTTATAGCACTGGAAGAGAAGCTAGATGTTATAAAGTGTTTTGAGTGTAATGGGAGAATATGTGATATAGTTCGCCTAACAGGAATAAAGGAGTCTACCTTGTGCACCATTAGAGACAATGCAGAAAAGATTAAAGCAAGCTGTATTGCTGGAACAAGTCTGAGTGCTAGCAAATCTGTGAGGTTACGGACAAACGAACTTGAGATGGAGTGGCTTCTAAGTGTGTGGATAGAAGATCAAATGAAAAAGCAATCTGGGACCACCCTTCTCACCATAAGAGAGAAAGCCTTCTCAATTTATGAAGATCTAACAATAAAGCTCAAAGTCCTGCCGATCCGCCTGTCTTTAGTGCTAGCAGTGGCTGGTTTGCCAGTTTTAAGAACCATTAAGTTTTTCATAATGTCAAGTTATGTGGCAAAGCTGCCAGTGCAGATGAGGAGCATGCGATGGCATTTCCTCCCATAGTTAAAAAAAAAAAAAAAAATTAATTGACGAAGAAGGCTACAACTTAGACCAACTTTTCAGTTTGGATGAGACAAGTTTATACTGGAAGCAAATGCCATCAATAATTTACATTTCTATGAATGAAGCACCCATGCTCCAGGCTTTAAGGTGGCAAAAGATCATATGACTGTGTCGCTGGGTGCCAATGCTAGTGTAGACTTAAAGTTTAAGCCTGTGGTGGTGTAACACTCTGCCAACCTGCGAGCCTTGAAAGGTTACCTTAAGTCTACTCTAAGCATCTACTTTAGGTCAAGCAAAAAAGGTTGGCTATTGAGGCAAATTTTTTCTGACCTTTAGTGTTGATGTTTTGGAAGATGTTTTTTGAATGAGAAAAAAACGTAGATTTCAAGATTCTCTCCATCCTGGATAATGCGCCAAGCCATCCTCCCATCATTGGTGAGCTTTCTGAAAACAAAGTGCTGTTTGACCCCAGGGTGCAATATCAGCTTTTAAAGCTTATTATTTAAGGCACACATTTAACAGGTTGATTGCAGCCACTGACGGGGATAAGGACAGTGTTCTTCAATTTTGGAAGAGCTTTAATATCAAGAATGCAGTTGACATTATCATGAAGGCCTGAGGTGATGTCAGTAAGGACTGCTTGCATGCAGTTTGACGGAAGCTTCTCCCAGATTTTTTTCAAGATTTTAAAACCATTGATCTGTCAGAGGAGCTCCTAAGGATCGAAGAAGATGGTGTTGATCTTGCAAAACAAGCTGGATTTGAAGATGTGGAGAGTGAGAGTGAGCTGCTTGAGTCCCATTGTGAAGACCTCTTTCTACAGCGAATCTACAACAACTCTTCGCTGAGGAGGAAGTGGAAACTGGAGATGAAGGCCAGGATGCAGCACCACGAGACCTTTCCACTTCTGTTTTGTCTTATATCCTAAGGGAAATTGAGAAGCAGTTGCACCTCTTAGAGGACAACGATTACAATGCAGAACGCAGCAGGATGGCAGTTCGTGGAATAAGATCTTATTTGGCACCCTATGAACGACTTCTTCATGAAAGAAGAAAAAGGGCAAAGCAGCAAAAACTGGATGTCTTTGTAAAGCCAACCCCCAAGAAGCAGTCGGAATACAATGAACCACAGCCTTCCACTTCTGGATCAACTATTTTTCGCCCTAACCCTGCAGCCACAGCTGTACCTGAAAGTGGTGATAAAGATGATGATGACGACCCTCAGCCCCTGCATTAAAAACAGAGCAACCTCAAAACCTCCGTCCCCATCAAGTCATCTTGACATTTTTTTCAAGATAAGGTGTTAATTTACTTTTATTTCATTATTAGATATGAATTAAACATTTATTCAAACTGTGCTATCTTTTGTGTTAGGCTTTTGAGCGATTTTTGAGTTACATTTTTTGGTGGTCTGCCCCTATCCCTGCTTTTCCCATTGGCGCTGTTATTTCTATAGCATGATTTTCTATAACGCAATGTTGCACAGGGAAACAACTATTGCGTTTATAGCAGAACCCCCTGTATCTCACTAATAACAGATATCTGAAAAGTATACAGTGTTTACAGATTTTGCTGACATCAACTGCACATAATTAATCCCTGTCAAATAAACTGGAACTAATATATAAATGTTGAGCAAGTTAGTAATCTCAGCTAAGCTGAGAAGTTTTAAAGAAGTTGGTGAGCACCATAGTGTCACATTATAGTTACTAAACTCATGAATTCCAAAACAGCAAGTGAAAACCGGGAACAAAAACAAAGTTGCTGGAAAAGCTCAGCAGGTCTGGCAGCATCTGTGAAGGTAAAAACAGAGTTAACATTTCGGGTCCGGTGACCCTTCCTCAGTGAAAACTTTGCTTACTTTCAGAATCTACTGATGACCGTGAATCCATTGTCGATTGTTAGAAAAACCCATCTGGTTCACTAATGTCCTTTAGAGAAGGAAACTGCCATCCTTACCTGGTCTGGCCTACGTGTGACTCCAGACCAACAGCAATGTGGTTGACTCTTAACTGCCCTCTGGGCAATTAGGGATGGGCAATAAATGCTGCCGAGCCAGCGATGCCCTCAGCCCTTGAATGAATTAAAAAAAAGCTTTAAGGTTGAAAGAATTTCTCAAAACAAATAATGTTTTTCAATTTTCTGAGTTAACCATCTAAAAATAAATGCGTGGGTCTGTGATACTTTTTTTTTGCACCTAATCATTTTTGAGGATATCTACTGTTGATTCTATAAGTGCAGGAAAGTGGGATTAGTATTGTTTGGTGTTTGTTGGTTGGCGTAGATGCAATGAGCTGAAAGGTTTTCTATACTGTATGGCACTATGACTGTCATAAAATTGCCATTGAATGAATAAAGTGCCTCTTGATGATGCATCCAATCAAGATTAACCAACTTGTGAGTAGATAGAACTGATCACTTCATGGAAAAGACGATGTCAGCCCTCTGAGCTAAACTTACAAAATGAACTGTGCAAGCATCTGAAGTATTAATACGTAAGATTGTGGCAGTGTGATCCAGTACCTTATTTCCTAGTTGGCTGTACTTCTCCCCATAAGAGGGAGACTGTGATGCAGTTGTAACTGTTCTTTGGCTCAATAAACATTTTCATTTTTATCTCCTAAATGTAACCATAACTATAATCTTGTCTCAGAGTGAGAAGCAGCAAAATGTCACCAGCAGAGTTCAAGAAGTCCGAAGCAGAAAGGAAGTTCAAAAAAATGAACTGGATCTCGTAAATCAGAAACATGACCAGAGACGAATAGAAGTGAACCATTTACAACAACAACTCAAGGTAGCAGCCTCTCTCTCTCCCACTCTCTCTCTCTCTATCTCTCTCTCTGTCTCCGTCTCTTTTCTAAGCTGATTTGCCTCTGTTTGAAAGAAGTGTTGCCAAAGTACCATACTTACTCAAGAAAAATCAATTATTCATCAAATTTGACTAAGGCTAACAACTTTAAATCTTTCAAAGTGAGATAACCTCCATTTCAGGGCAGACTGATTTAAGTTTGTGCTATTTTAATGAATAGTTTAAAACAAAGACACAGTGGTGCAGCATCATTGGTGCTCTGCGATGTACAATTTTGAATAACTCAATACTAATTTGTTTGGATAATTTCACACCATCAATTAATTCTGAATTGCACCCAAATTACACTAAGAGCCAACTTTAAAAATGTTAATAAAATTCTGTTTCTCCATTTCTTAAAAAGAAGCTGAAAACTGTTCCTCTATTGTGTGTGTTGTAGGAGTTTCAGAAAACGTTGAATCAGTTAATTCCCAAAAAGCAAGCACTGGATGACCAAATAAAACAGATTCAGCCCAACTCTGCTTACAGTGAGTACCTTGCATTCTACAAAAAACTTGATCATTCTCCTTGTACTTAATGTATCATTGAGTTTATACCTGTTTGTTGCATGGGCAGAATGGATACTCACGTAGTTATGGGTCAGCACGGATGAACCCCATTTGGTTTATTAACAACAGCAAAGCAAAGATCACATACTTTCTGTAAATGATGTCTCTCTGGATATCAATTGTTACTGCTTACACTACATCTCGTGCTTGCATGGCAGGAGGAGGTGAAAGACATCTTTCTTTTGGTCATTCATGGGATTTGAGCATCATTGGCAAGGCAACATTTATTGCTCATCTGTAATTGCTTTGAGAATGAGTAGTGAGCTGCCTTCTTGAGCTGCTTCAGTCCTTTTGGTGAAGATGTACCTACAGTGCTCTTAGAAAGGGAGTTCCAAGTTTTAATACCGAGGCAGCGAAAGAGCAGTAATATCAGGATGGCTTGGAGGGAAAGTCGCAGATTGTGGTGTTCCCATGCAACTGCTACCTTTATCCTTCTAGGTAGTAAATGGCATTTGGAAGGTGCTGTCAAAGGATCCTTGGTGAATTGCTTCATCTTGTATATGTTGCTATTGTGTGCTGGTGAAGGAGGGAGTGAATGTTTAAGATTGTGGATAGTGTACCAGCTAAGTGAACCTTTTGTCCTTGATGCTGATGTTGGTCTCAAGTGTTGTGAAACTGCACTCATCCAGGCATGGGGAATATTCATCACACTCCTGGCTTGTGCCTTCTATATGGTGGACAAGCTTTGGAGAGTCAGGAAATAAGTTACAGATGTTAGTGAGGAGGAATTTGCAGGGCTGATAGGACCAATTTTTATTTTGTTAATTTTTGCTTTTTAAGAATTTTTAAAACTCTTAGTTTTGGATTTTTTTTAACGTATTTCTAGCTAGCTTTCTCACATGTCTAATTTTTCACTCTTTATTAAGTTTTCAGTCATTCTTTGCTGCTTTCTGTACCCCCTCCAATGTTCTGACCTAACATTGTCTGCACAATTATGTTCTCTTTCTGTAAGTTTGATAAATCTTTAACTTTTTAAGTTAACCACTTTAGGTGGGACTACCCTTGGAAAATATTCTTTCTTATTGAAATTTCTTATTGCGTATTCTGAAATATACCCTTAAATGTCTGCCACTACATCTCTTATCTAATTTGCTATTTCATGTTAGCAGATTTTTTCTCATAGCAATAGCCTGGCCCTCTTGGGTTACTGGTCTTGTGACAAAACCATTACATCACCATCCCCTTCCTTAAGCTTAACAGCGGGTACTCGCTGACTCTTAGACATTTGAAACAAAACTAATTTATGTTCTTCAAGCTCTGTAGATTGCATGAAATTTATGTTCTTCAGCTACGAGTATCGCACTTTTGAATCGGAATCATGCAGAAAGAAAAGATTCTTGTGAACGACTTCGACAACAACTGAATGAGCTAGAGAAACAGACGGCCAACAAACTTTCTGAAATGGATGCTTTTAACTCTCAACTACAGGTAATACCTAAACAATATCATCAACATTTATATAAGCTGAAAAAATATTGCTCTGTTTCTGAATTTTAGTTCCATTTATTGACTTTAAACTGGCTAACCCTTTTGAGCAAATATTTCCCCCATGTGTTGTCAAGTTGAATCTGGTTTGCAATCAGAACCTGGAATATTGCTTAATTTAGTTTTTTTATCCCCCAGGGCAGGGGTACTGCAATCAATTTTAGTATTCCGAACTGAGATCAACTGACTTGCCAGAGTTGGTACTGAATGTGGGAGACTTCATTGATGAATGATCCAGTGACTGTGCCATCTATACTGATATCAGTCACCCATTGGGCCAGCTTGTTAAAATTCTTTCACAGGATGTGGGCATCGCTGGCTAGGCCAGCATTTATTGCTCACTCCAACTGTCCTTGAGAAGGTAGTTGTGAGCTACCTTCTGAACTGCTTCAGTCCATGTGGTGTAGGTGTACCTCACAGTATTTTTAGGTAAGCAGTCCTGTCCTTTCTTGGCAGCAACAGTGAAGAAATCATGATATCATTCCAAATCAAGATGATACGTCATTTAGAGGAGAAATTACAGGTAGTGCTGTCCCCATGTACCTGTCATCTTTTACATTCAAGGTCAGGGCTTCCAAAACTTTTTTTTTTTAACCTGCAACAGGAGCCAGGCCTGCAGGTTCATCATGTAAGCTAAACTTACAATTACAAAAGTTTAGAATGAGTTAAAATTGTCTTGCAGCTTTTCACTCTGTTGTGGCTCCATTGCAGCTATTGTTGCCTCGCAGCTCACAACTCCAAAATTTCACTTAGGCTTGTGATCCTTACTTTGGATACTGTGTTCTAGATGGTAGAGACAACCATTTTGAAAGGTCCTATTGAAGGAGCCATGAACAAATGTTCTATTGTAATAATAAGATAAAATAAAATTGCAGATGCTGGAGATCTGAAACAAACTCAGAAATTGCTGGAGACACTCGGGTCTTGGCAGTATTTGTGAGATGAAAGCAGAGTTAGCTTTTTAAGTGTGATGGCTCTTCATCAGAACTGTTAACTAGGAAAATGTGATACTAATGCTGAAGATGAAGTTGGGTTAGGGTTGAGTCTGGTGGAGAGGTAGTGATGGAGCCCAGAGAGAGAGAGATGAAGAAGGAGGTAAGAAGGAGATAATGGCCAGGACGGAAGAAAAGCTGAATAAATAATAATAAGAGCCAAGAATAGAAGATAATGGACGATCTGTACTGAAAGCAACCCATATAATATTTTAGTGGGCCTTGGAGTAGGTGAGAATGGGTGACTGTGCTAAACACAATCCATACCATAACGGGACCAGGTTTAGGGGTAATTAAAAAACATTGAAGGATGGAATCAGACTTTAAAATTATTGAACCTGATGCTGAGTCTTAAAGGCTGTAAGGTCTCCAAGTGGAAAATGAGATATTGTTCTTCGAGCTTGCGCCGAGGCTCGCTTGAACACTGCAGTAGGCCTGCAACAAAAATGTTGGCATGGGAACATGGTGGCGTGTTGAATTGGCAAGTGACTCGAAGCTCAGAGTCCTTTTTGAAGACAATGTAGGTGTTCTGCAAAGTGGCCACCCAGTCTGTGCTTTGTTTCCCCAATGTAGAGGAGACCACATTGTGAGCAGCGAATACAGTCGGCTAGATTGAATCCAGTGTAGGTAAATTGCTGCTTCACTTGGAAGGTGTGTCTCGGGCCTTAGATGGTGAGGAGGGAGGAAGTAAATATGTAGGTATTACACAATAAAAACCGAAAGAACTGCGGATGCTGTAAATCAGGAACAAAAACAAAGTTGCTGGAAAAGCTCAGCACGTCTGGCAGCATCTGTGAAGGAAAAAACAGAGTTAATGTTTCGGATCCAGTGACCCTTCCTCAGAACTGGTATGTAGGTATTACACCTTGTGCGATTACATGGGAAGGTGCCATGGAGATGTGAGTATATTTTGGGAATCGAGGAGGAGTGGACCAGAATGTCCAGAGGGAATGCACCCTGCGGAATTTTGATAGGGGATGATAATAAGTATCTGGTCATGTCATCCCTTTGGAGGTGACTGAAATGGCTGCTTAAAATCGTTTGGATGCGTAAGTGGGTAGGGTGATAAGTAAGGACCAGGGGGACCCTACCATTGTTATGTGAGGGAAGGGTAGGAGGAGAGCAGAAGTGCAGGAGATGGGTCAAATACACCTAAGGGCCCTATTGACCACTGCAGTAGGGAATGCTCAATTCAGGAAAAAGGTGGACATTCCTCAGGCGCCCCTGAGGAAGGTGTCATTGTCAGAACAGATGTGATGGAGAAACTGGGAGAATGGGATGGAGTCCTTAAAGGAAGCAGATTGTGAGGATGTAGTCAAGTAACTGTAGGAGTTGGTGCGTTTGTAATGTATATCAATGGATGGCCTATCCCAGGAAGGGACACTGATGTCAAGGAAGGGAAGGGGGAAAATCAGATGTGGACCAGGTGAAGGTGAGGACAGGGCGGAGATTGGAAGTGAAATTGATACATTTTCTAGTTCAGAATGTGAGGGAGAAGCAGTTCCTGATGTCATCGATGTACTGGAGAAAGAGTTGTGGGTGGCGGCCCAAGTAGGATTGGAGGAAGGAATGTTCTCCGCACCCACAAAGAGACAAGTATAACTGGGGCTTATGCAGGTATCAGTGACAAACCATTTGCCTAGAAGGAGGAGAGAGGAATTAAGAGTTGTTCAAAGTGAGGATGAGTTTGGCCAGGCAAAGGAGGGTGGTGGTGGATAGGGATTGTTCAGGCCTTCTTTCTATTATCTCCTTGATTACTGCTCCTTTCGTACCTGTCTCTGTGACTCTGTCTGTATGGGCTCCATTGTCCACTGATTTTAAAACAAACATGCACAGACACACATTCCCTGCCCCCCCCATCCCAATACCCTCCCCCACACAACTTCCACCAACCACCCCCACCCATCCTTCGGCATAACTAGCACCTGTGCCTAGCCACTTACAGTCCTGATAAGGAGGCACTGCAATCAAACCATTAACTCTGTTACCTTCCCACAGGTCCTGCTAGACCTTCTCAGTCCCTCTATTAGTTCTATTCCGTTTGAAATGGGATAAATATTTTGATGTTGAGCTCTTAGTTGGTAGCTTATTTTGCATTCTTCTTCTTTAATCTGTCCTCTCATTTTAGATATGTCTTTTCCCATCACCTTCTCAGCACTGAATCCGTTAACCTTTCCAAAATCAATTTTGAGTTGACTTTCAGAAATCTTTATGAATGTTTGAAGGAAACCTACACGAAGGTCTCAATACTTGTTCTCAATAGGAGGATGAATCACTTTCTTTCTGACTTTTCCCACAAACATGTGATGGCTGCTTGGTATCTTTTCTGGTCACTTTGCAGTTGATGCTCCTGCTCCTCCAAATGACAGCTCTACTGCCATTGTTTAAATTGCTTTCATTATACAATGATAAGATCAATTTGCACATAAACGTAGATAATGTGGACATCCACAACAACTATTACTTTAACAAATTGTTCAACTAAAAGTGATAACTAAAATTGTGAAGAATAACTGCTTTACTGACTTATCCGTGAGATAAGACCCTGGATGCTTTTCCTATGTTGACTTTTCGATGATTACGTTTGCTGTTTGTAACCTTATACGTTTGACCATCTGCATGACTTGTCCCACTATCCTCACTTTGTACTGTATATGTCTGCTACTTCACGCAACTCCTCCATCAACGGAACAGCACTGTGGTTAGAATGAGCATGGAAATCCGAAGCATGGATGACAAAATTACTTTCTTTATAAAAAGCCTTCATCTAACTTTATACCAGTAAAGGATCTGCTCTTGATAAATCTATTTTAAAATGAATGCTAGTTCTCTTGAATAGTTTTGAAGAAGTCAAAAGCCTTGCAGCCATTAAAGAAAGAAATAAAATGTAGTGGGTTTATTGATGTTTCTGCTTTCCCATCAGTAGGGTGCTTGCATTGCAATTTGAACAGCAGGTTGAGGAATACTTGTGGGCATCTCTATTCAGATCAGCATATTATAATGTCCTTATTGTACAATTAGAGCAGATTTCTGAAGCCATGGAAAGGTATTTTGAAAATTTTCCCAAGTATGCCAAGTTGCGATATGAGGTTGTAGACGTGCTCACCAAGCTGGTGGGTTTCGTCACCCTGCTAGGTAACATCATCAGTGTGCCTCTGGTGAAGCATCTGTGTTCCGTCCTGCTTGTTATTTATATGCCTCGGTTTGCTGGGCTGGTTGGTATTACTTCCGGTTTTGTTTCTTAGTGGTTTGTACACAGGGTCAGATTCAACGTGTTTGTTGATGGAGTTCCAGTTGGAATACCAGGCCTCCAGGAATTCCCAGGCATGACATTGTTTGGCGTATGCAATTATGGATGTGTTGTCCCAGTCGAATTCGTGTCCCTTGTTGTCTGTGTGTAAATGAGAATTGGTCATGTCACTTGGTGGCTAGTTGGTGTTCATGTATCGGTATTGTCAGTTTTCTTCCAGTTTGGCCTATGTAGTGTTTCTCACAGTCCTTGCATTGTATTTTGTATATTACCCCAGTTTTGCTGATTTTGGGAATGGGATCCTTCATGTTCATCAGTAGCTGTCGTAGGATGGTTGTCGGTTTGAGGACTACTCTGATACCTAGGGGTCAGAGGAGTCTTGTCATCTCTGAAATGTCCTTGATGTATGGTAGGGTGATAAGTGATTATGGTCGTGTTGTGTCTTCCAGTTGTGGTCTGTCTCGGAGGTAACGGCAGATTGTGCTTTTCCAGTATCTATTCCTTTTGAAGACTCTGTATTGGTGCTCCTGTTCTGCTTTGCGTAGTTCCAGGTTGCTGCAATGTGTTGTGGCTCACTTAAATAGTGTCCTGATGCAGCTCTGTTTGTGGGCATAGGGGTGGTTGCTGGTGTAATTGTGTATCTGATTTGTGGTGGTCTTTCTATATACTCTAGTCTGGAGTTCCCTGTTGTTTTGCGTTCT